TCTCCTGGCCCATGCCAAGTGTGGTCGCTCCCTATCCACCCCTAGGGTGAGTCTGGGTAGCGGTGTGAGCAGGGCTGCTTGGTACCCTGAAGCAGCAAGGCTGTTCTCTGTGGCTTCTGTTTTAATCTGAGTCGAGAATCTGAGGTGAAGGAATAATAAGGAATGAGGAATACCCACTTGTATATGGATTCCCAAGAGGTTTAATTCTTGAGAAGAGCCACGGAAAAGTGACAAAAAATACAGGCTTGCAACAACTTAAATATGGGGGAGATTACAAGGGCAGGCTACAAACTTCAAACAATTGCAGGACGCCTGAGGAGGAGCACAGGGTGGGGAAGACATCGTGACAGCCAACGGGGGGCTGACACGGTGGCCAGTCTGGAGACAGTAGCTAGCCCAATCTCCTGGTCCATGCCAAGAGTGGCCACCCCCTATCTGCCTCTTGGGCTGGTCTGGGTGGTGGTGCAAGCAGGACTGCTTAATTCCCAAAACCAGCAAGGCTGCCCTGTGCAGCTGCTGTTGGTATCCTAAGTTAAGAAACCCACAGTAAAGGAAAGACAGGGATCACTTGTGTGGGCTCCCAAGAGGTTTTAATTCCTGAGAGCGTCCAGCAACAAGTAACTACAAATATAGGGTTACAACAGCGTAAGTATGGGGAAGGGAATGAGGGGAGAATACAACTTTATCCAATGGCAAGAGTCCTGGGGATGAGCACAGTACATACTGACAACCAATGGGAGATGAAAGGAGAGGGGAATATACTAAATATACCAGTGGGTACTCAAGGGATACACGATAGGCACAGAAAGTTCTAGAGATAAAGGTGGGAACAACAGAGAAGGGCAGGGCTTTGCTGAATGACAGGGTAGGATCTGGAGCAGAGGGAAGTTCTTTGAGAAGATGGACAGGGAAATGGGAGGATACAACTCTGGGGTAAACCAAACATACGGGACAACCGGAACAAACCACTTTAAATTTATAACAGGAAAACACTCTAAATTCGTAACAGAAAGAGCATACCACCACAGGGGGCAATAGGGAAGGAGAATAATTTAAACATACCAATGAGATTTCAAGGGATACATGACAGACATAGAAGATTCTAGGAATACAGGTGAAGCTAAGTGACAGACAAAGGAGGAGCGCAGGGTTTCAGTGACTGGCAGGGAAGGATCCAGAAGGTTTAATCTTTGGGGAGATGGACCGGGAAATGGGAGGGTACAACTCTGGGTTAAACCAAACATGCATGGGGGCCAACTGGAACAAAAAAAACATTTTGAACTTACAACAGAAAAACACACCACCAAAGCCCTTAAGTATTAAAAAAGAGATTTTTTATTTCCTATGGTTTCTGAAATTTCATATCTACTTTAACTATGATCAGTATCTCTCTGGTGTTCCTGGCTCCATCCCTTGAAAAAAACCAGGAGTTACCCAATATCTTTGAATACAGCAAATATATTAAATGGACAATTATTACAGGCATATCAAAAGTTAATTGTACAGGACTCTGTAAATGCATTGCAGTTCTACAAATATTTGAATTAATAAAATGCCCAACCTATGTTTAATAAAAAAATAAATGAAGAGATGGTCAGAGAATCCCTGGAAGACTGCTAATTAATGATTCTTTCTTGTACTTCAATCCCTATTAATTTAATTCTCAGAAGTGTTCATGGTTTAAACATATATTTGACTAAGTAATAATAAAAGATAATAATAAGACTTGTGGATTCACTCATCAATCTTGAATACAACCCCTGATTAATGGAGTTTAGGAAACCCATGGAATAGATTATGAAAAGAAACATGTCAGATTAGATAGATCCAGACACAGATATTTTGCATTGAATAGTTATAATTCAGTATTTGTAGACCATGTAATTCTAGAGGCTCTGAAACACCAAGTTTATTCACTAGAAAGATATCCAGAAATTAGGACACTGAAATAATTTGGATAATCTTCTTGGTCTAATTTGACTGCTAATTCAGGAAAATTAAGTTTTTTTTCTGGTATCTTAAATCTTTACAATAATCACAACACACAGAAATAAATTTCTGTTCTAAATGTAACAGACAGGTTTGGACACCACAGACACTTACAGAGCTCTCATAAATGTTGCTCATACATCCAGACTTAAGCAACATGAACAGTATGAGAAGCCAGAATCCATACCATCCCTAAGGGTCAAAACCACTTGTCTTTTGAACAGGAGCTTTGGATTTTCATTAAACAAAACAAAACAAAACAAAAAAATCAACTCCTTTAACTCTTAAACCTTAGAGAAGCTTTAACATAAATACAGGAAATCTCTTTTCATGAAAGTAGTATTTTTGCTAGTAAGGGGCATCCTTTTGCCACAGTGTCAGTCCTATGATATGTCTGCTTAAGGACGCCTGCAAAAAAGACACTTGAGCAATTAGCAATGCTAAAGCTGAAGGGTGACTTGGGTTTTTTCTCCTCAATGCTATTAACAAAGAGATGGAAGAAGTAAATTACTCAGTTAATTGCAGAACACAGAATGTAGCTCCAAGGAGAATCTTCTGATATGTGCCATTTGTGGAGTTGTGTTATTGTAGGTTTTATTATGTAATAGTTTGTTCCGATGTACCCCCATGTTCTACTTGGTCTGTCCCTAGTTTTCCTGCCTTACCCCATGTGTCAATCCTCCCCTAAGGCGCTCAGTCACTCCCTTGTCCCCTCCCAGGCGCCCTGTCAGTCGCTCGGTATCCCCTCCCAGACACCTAGAAGCTTCTATCCTGGGTGCCGGGTGATTGGACAGGGGCCTGGGGCCCCTCCTACGTCTATCCCTCATAGGTTCCCATATGCATCACCCCATACAAGAGCCACTCCCTGTTTCACTCCTATTGGTCGATTGGTTCCTCTCTCTCCCTCTCTCTCTCTCTCTCTCTCTCTCTCTCCCTCTCTCTCTCTCTCTCTCTCTCTCTCGCTCTCTCTCTCTCTCGCTCTCTCACTCTTTCTCAGTTTATAAGCTGCTGCAAGCACCCTACAGTTGCTCTTGCTAGCAGGATTGTTCAGGTGTTGTTGGGCCCTGTTGGCCTGCAATAAACTTTGGATGTAACCCTAGCAGAAGTCTCTCTTTCTCTCACTGCTGCGGGGTTCAGCAGCGCTTTGCCAACGCACGAAGCACTCTCCAAAGCCCGGCTGGGCCCAGCGGAGGGTGTTTCACTTGCCCCTCTCACCCCATCGGAACGCTAGCCGGGGCAGATCGGGGGGGGGAGCGCGGCAGCCATTAGCAAATCTACATACCCATTGAGACAGTGATGATTTTCAAGGAGAGGACAACAGGCAACATTTAAGTAGCCAGACCCCTTCCTACTTGGAAGTCAGTGGTAAAATTCTCAGAGGTATCAGTGAGGACAAGATTAGGCCAGCAGCAAATTCTTTTGAAAACAGCATCCTACAAAATCCCTACTGATGGTGTGACTATGCCACAAATAAACGGTACCCAAGGAACACCTTGGAAAACCTCTAGCTAAGTTATAGAGGCATAGGAAAAGAAACAAAATCAGAGAACAGAGAAACAAAGGGCTGCACACCTTCCAAGCACTACCTTGGGAATTGCTTTCACATGCACGTTATGAGTAAGGTGTGGACGTTGGCTCATGCAAATGAGGAGTTGTTGAGTGTGGGGAGAGGTTCTGTTGGGGTTGGCGGTTCTTTTGACACATACTTTTGTTGTTCCGCTGTGGTTTTGGACCTTTTCTTCTCTCCCTTCAGTCCTACCCGGTGTGATGGCTGCTTGGCCGCCCTGGGTGGCGAAATCGCGGTCCCATATCGGGGAGGACGTGTACTGCCTCTGAGGAAGGTGGGGGACACCTGGTCTGGGTGGGTAGAACCACACCACCAATCAGGAGGAGAGAGGAGCACGGAATGATGTATAAGGACTGCTCATAAATATAAAGAATATTCATGAGGCTGATGCTGCCTGTGGGAGCTCAGTCAGTGGGTGTAGAGCGGGGCTGGTGGACAATTCTGCAGGATTACTGAGAAGAGAGCGGGAAAAAATGCAGTAGCTGCAGATATCATTTGAAAATACTAAAATTGCTCACTGTAAAACAAGGATGAAATGCACACAAATAATGTTTACCAGGCTGAGCCGGCTGGAATGTGCTGCATTTCATGTTGTTATAAATGGTGGGCAAGCTCTTAAGTGCTTTCAGCTTTATTGGAAAACGTCTAGGTAGGGGACTCGTGGGAAGGTGCGCATACCACCGCTGCCCCCAAGACGGCATAGGGGAGGAAGAGGATGTCTCTAAGTAGACACTTGCTGGTTTCAGGTTCACGGTCCCTATACTGTTCTTGGCCTGCTGTTAGGGTGACAAAGCTGAAAAGTTCTCACTGGGGCCTTGATGTCTTATGTTTTTTCTGGTCAGAGGTGTTATTTTAATTCTTTATTTGCATGGTGGCTTGTTCTAGGCGTTTTTGTTAGGTAATTTTTTTTTGCTAAGTCTCATGGGAGTTTCATGAAGAGAAGGGGCCCAGCCCCCAAGACACCCTGGAGCACTGCAGTGAGAGGACCTGCTGGCACTGGAAATGGCAGTGCAGATGGTGCAGGCTGAGGAGGAGGAGATGAGGCTCTTTATACGCCATGCTGTGGCAGCTCTGCTTGCTCTCCCTTCTCCTTGAGCCTTTTGGTGCTTTTCGCCAAGTCCTGATCTGCATCCTCAGGCAATGGCCCCCAAAGCCCTTTCCAGGGCTGCAACAAAATCTCCCTCAGACATGAGAGTTAAAAGAGTTAAAAGATAGTGGTAGAGTCTAGTCTAAAAAAAGAAATTACAAATTTATTCTACCTGTTTTCAAAACTTGCCACAAATTCTCCAGTTTATTAAAACAAGGCAAAAAAAAACCCCAACACAGTTCATTATGGAAAGACAAATATCTCATCCCATTTGTCATATAGCAGAGGTGGAATTTTCAGAAAAAGAGGTAGCAGCTCTGTGGCCTGCAGGGTGCTGCTGGCAGAGACGGCTGCTGCCTACTCAAGGCTCAGGCAGGCACAGGAGCTGCCTTGCTGCACGGCCAGAACCATCTCGATGCTGCGGTGCAGGCCAGAGGCGCCGCTCAGCTGGAACCTGCAGGACTTGCCGCAGGGCAGCGCCGTCAGCTGCAAACGGCGCGAGTGCGGCAGGAGCAGCCAGGCCGACGCCACCAACATCTGCACCCAGCGGGTGACTTTCTCTGGGTCCAAGTAGGAGCCCGTGCAGAGGGTGTCCACCAGGTACCACTCGTGGTCGCTGGGCAGCTGGCCACCAGAGGCATGGAGCAAGCACGTGTGCCCCAGCAGCTGCTCCCCGGAGCACAGGCACTCCAGCCCCACGTGGATGCGCTCGGCTGGCGGCCATTTCCTGCTCTCCGGGCTGAAGGAGTGGCCGGGCGGTGGCCGCAGGATGACCAGCGTGCGGTAGGTGCTGCTGTTCTCCTGGGCGCTGCAGGTGGGGCTGGTGTCCGTCCCGGCGGCTGGGTGCAGCTCTGGCATGAAGTTCCTCCGGGACAGCACTTGGCAGACGCCGAGGAGATTGTCCACCATTTAAACAGGAAAAACCATTTAAACAGGAAGGGGAAATGGGAAAAAATCATTTTGGGGAAAACCTTAAAACAGAACCCAACAATGTTATTAATCTGTCTTTCGATGGCCTCTTTAAGTCTATCAACAGATGTTATAAATATCTTTTCAGGGCCCTGAATTATTGATGAAAAGTTTTGGAGGGGGGGTCTTACTGTCTGGAATCTTGAGCAGTGCCACTTTTCCTGCCTTGCTGATTTCCAGAAGCAGTTCTTCTGCAAACTAGATCTGATCTTCTGGATGGCTAAACTCCCCCTCTCCCGCAAGGGTCTCCATTGCCTTTTCCTTATCCCGCACAAGCTCAGACAGATCGTACTTTTTCAGGAAGGGTTTATTGAGTTTTTTCCAATGGATCTCCCAGAGATCACATTCGGTGTGAGAAAATAAAGCTTTGGCAATATAACATAAATAGTGGGGAATTAGTGGGTCAGGAAGCAGCAGGGAGACGGCAGCAGCCCTGTGCTTTCATGTGGCAGGGTCTGTCTCCCGGCCCATCCTTAGGGGAAGTGGGGATAGGATTGGGGGGGGAGGAACAAGGGACAGGAGAACTGGGGACCCAACTCTCCCCTTTCTTTTTAAATGAAATGTCCCACCCTAAAATTTCCCAGAACTTGTAAATCATAAATATTTTTCCCAACCTTTCCCCAGAATGCAACAGAAGAAACATCCTCAAGAGTGGCCACGGTAAAATGTTCAAAAATAAAATTAACAAAAGCTTTTAAATCCCTTTTTTTAAGAGTAATGTTCCCCAACAGTAGGGTAGATTTAGCTTGGGTATAGAACTCCCATGGGGCTGGAGACAAATGGTTACCCATGGTCTCCCAGCCAAAATTCCCCCTTCGAAGCAAAGGAAAATGAAAAGAAGAAGACCCTGGTCAGGTGTTATAGAGGAGCACCAAAAAACTTGCCACCAATGGACACAGACAGAATGAAGAGTCTTCGAAGGGGCGGTGGAGCTCTGCCGGTCCACTGGATTTCACAGCTTCCCCCAAAGCTGGTGGTTGAAATTCCAGTGGTTGCTGGCAGGACCAGGACGCTGGAGTCTTCTGCAAAGGAAGAACAGCGGTTCCCGGAACTGGTACTGAACGCCACTTGAGATCTTGGGGAAGGCTGGTCATGGATCAGACGATCTCCAGGAGACGGTCAGAGGCTCGGACAGGCAGGTGTCCAGCCTTTTTGGGCGCCAGTTAAAGACACCCCGGGCTGATGTCCCACAGAATGCCCTTAGAAGGGTCTTCTGTGGGATAGTCAACAGGTGCCTCGGATAGCTGGATGATTCTCTTTCACTGAAATGACAGGAGGGACACTTGGGTAGCTGAAATCTTGCAGGGTTACTGAGGGTAGACAAGACAGAGAACAGGACAACCATGCAAGAGGGAAGCCAGCTTCAAGAGCTCCCTGCAGGGGAGGGGTCAGGGTATATAAGAGGGGGGAAGGTAGGAGGGGTCGAGGTACATGGGGACCAACCAGGAAAGGGCTGACGGGAGAAGAATGGATGGGGCAACATAACTGCAACCAGTGAGGGTAAGGGGAAGGAGTGGTTTTCAGGGGGGAACCAAATGGGAACTGGGGAACATGGAACTTTCCAGAGTAAAGGGGTAGAACAAAAAATGATTGACATAACAGGAGAGGATACAACATTTGATAGGCAGAAGGGAAGGTGGGAATCTTACACAGTAGTTGTCTCCCAGGGCAACCCTGGGCTGTTTTCCCCAGACCACCCTCCCACGTTTTCCTTCTTTTAGACTAGTTTGTAAAAAACCCCAATAATATAATTAGTCCTTTTTTTGTTCACAGCAAGAACGTATCTAGTGATTGGCACATGGCAATGTCAGCTCCTTAATGAGCACTCTGTAGGTAAATGTGCCACACACGCAACACAAACAGCACACAAGACAAGAGATAAAAAAAGCCTGGAGCCTTTGATCACCCGAGGATCCACAGGATTCTGGGGGCACTATTTTTAACATAAACATTAATTTTAAGACCAATTACTGATGCAGTGTCTGAGTCCTGGGAGAAAGTTTTGGCCAGGCTAGCTTCCTTTCTCCCTTGAGGTTGTGCCACCGAGTGCCTGCTCCCCACCCACTTGCTGACCAGCAAGGGTAGCAGTGCAGCCTAGGGAAGATTGCAAATCCCAGCTGTGGACAGCTGTTGGAATGTGCTGAAGACCAAAGCAAGAGTGGAGAGTGTCCTCAGAATATATCTCCAAGGGGCTTCTTTCAAGAAAAGCTGCTCCAAAGGAGTGCTGTGACAAGGCAGAACAGTATTGTGTTACAATTTCTAAAGAGAGGAGGTCTCAGGGGCGGGGACAACACAGTAACAAATCAGGGAGGAGTGTAGGGTGGGATTATATTGTTTCAGAACCAATGAGGGGCAGGAGGGGAGGAGAACACTCTACCAGAACCTATAGGAACTCAGTGATCACATGAATGGCACAGAGGGTTCTGGAAAGAGAGGCTGGAATTATGCTGAATAACAGGGCAGAGGGGCAGAGTTACTCCTTAACTGACTCATGTTCCTCTCTGGTAAATTATGCAGCTCAGCAGGAGTTTGCTCATGAAGCACAATGTGATCAAGGCTTTTTAGTTGTTGGACTGCAGTAATTATGCAGCCTGGGAAAGTTCATCTTTCCTGAATTTCTTCAGATCATCACATTTACAGAGAAATTCACTGGGATTTTCACATCCAAGGACAAAAGTTATTCCTTCTCTGTAGCTTTACAAACTGTAATTTTTTTAATTTACTGGATGTCCAGTGCAGACAAGTTGCAGCCATAATCTTAAAACACACCTGCCCTTCCTGCCCACACCCATGGTGGTTTATAACTCAAGCAGATAGTGAAGCTCCAGTGCTTGACACTGGTGCATTGCTCTGACTCAGTCATCCTTACCCTTTGTTAAAAATTGAGATAAAGAAGTCAGAAGATCTGAAAGATTAACACTGAAACACTGTAGGTCATGGACTCAGAGAGTTCTGGATTTATGCATTTTTTTAAGCTTGAAAATCAGAAAGGCAAAGGGTGGAAATTTGCTGAGACAAAACTAAAAGAGTCAGAGTTCTGCAAACTGATTTTGTAGGCTACATTGTGTAAGTCAAACCATTTATCTTCTTTTTCTACTTTAGATTCTACATAAATGACTGGATTACTGAAAACAAAATCAATTTTTAAAGCAAAGATTCATGGATTCTGCTAAGTTAATTTAAAACATTTGTCCCTTAAAACAACTCAAGCATGATACATTTTTCAGCGTCATCCATATTTGTTTTGCATTAGGTCTAGAAATAAGAGTTAATCAAAATGCCTGGAGTGTTTAATTTACTACAGTGCACTGGATCCAGACCTATGAGTTTAATCAAAGGTCTCTCTCCATCATAAAATAATAAAGAGCTTTATTGGATATGTGAGACCTTATTATTTTTTTTGGGTTTTTTTTAAGCCCTGTTGTGGAATATTTGAAATCAGACTGAAATGTACTCATGGTCGCACCATTCACATTTTGAGCCCCTCCAAGGATGCAATACCATAGTGTCTCTTGGCCGTGGTCTGTGGGAACTCAAAATGTCTCTCAGACATTTTTAGAGGTTCCAGGCCTTAGTCAGAAGCATTTTGGACCCTGGCAGGCAGCTGGAAACAGCTGTGATTTTGAGTTTGAGCCATGGAATGAATTACCAACTTTAGAGGTGGAACAAGCAGTCACAAAAGGTTAGATAGTATAGTAAAAGTAATTACAAAGTAGAGGGGAAATTTTTTTAGTATTGTACAGGGGGGTTTTAGCACTTATACAGAGAGGTTTTTACTTTTTATATAGAAGTCAGAAGTTCTAAGATAGAAGAAAGTAGGCTGATCCTATTCTTCCTCCTTCTTTTTCCTTACCTCCATTTTCTTAGTAATGTTAGCACTCACAGATTAGTTTAGAGTAGAGAAGCACTTTGTAATATAGGTAGTAGATATTGGGGTAAAACTATAAACATGTAATATGCAATATATCATATAAAAGATAGCAGCAGCCCTGGGCGGAGGGAGAGAAGACGAAGACAGCAGATAGAGAGGATGTCAGTGTGTGTGTGTGCCTCTACCCAGGCCGCTGATCAAATAGCTGCAGCCCAAGAACATAATCTGTTAGATAACTAGCAATAAACTGCCTTGAGACCGAACAGCTAAAGCCTGCAGAGTTTTTCTTTAGAAGCACAAGTTAGAAGAATTTCACCACCACATGGGACCCCAGAGCAAGGCTGGGGTTCTCACACTGGTCCAGGAGGTTGGACACTCTCATTGTGGAAACCTCTACTGCTGTTCTCTGCTCATAGATTCTCCTTCTATGGCTTCTTTTATGTAGAGCCTTGGAGTTTGGGGGTTTTGCTTTGTTTTATTTTTTTTTTTTTAATTTTGGGGGTTTCTGTTGGTTGGTTTGGTTTTTTTGTGGTTGGGTT